CCCCTCTGTAACCCCCCAGATTGTTTTACTTGGTCCAGAGGCACAAAGCATTTTGATTGGTCTATCTCCGTCGGAGACGTCTCCGAATAGACACTGTGGGCTGGCTCTGTTGACTTTGGTTTCGTTTTAGTGAGAGGTTTACATCACTTGCAACGCGATTTGGTTGTATAAGTGTCGAAGATTAGAAGTGTATGTGTGTTTGTCTGTCTGTCTGTCTCTCTCTCTGACTTGTCTCTGTCTGTTAATCAGTATACATTACATCTGTCTTGTCTCTCTGTCAGTCAGTCTGTTAATAATATACATTATATCTATCTGTCTGTCATCTTGTCGAGCTATCAATATATTCAAAGTGATGCACAGTAACTATCTTATGATGTCTTTCCCTGTGTAAATGATCAAAACTGTGCCAGCAACACATTTGTACACAAATGAACAACGACCAAATGATAGCAACACATTTGTACACACAATATGAACAACGACCAAATGATAACAACACGTTTGTACACATATGAACAACGACCAAATGATAGCAACACATGTGTACACACATGAACAACGACCAAATGATAGCAACACGTTTGTACACACATGAACAACGACCAAATGATAGCAACACATGTGTACACACATGAACAACGACCAAATGATAGCAACACATTTGTACACACATGAACAACGACCAAATGATAGCAACACATTTGTACACACGTGAACAACGACCAAATGATGACTAACCGTCCACCTCCCCCCCCCCCTCTCCCCCCACAGGCGACACGGCGGACCTGATCTTCGTGTTCTTTGATCCTATCGGCCAGGCGCTGTGTAAACGCACCCTTAACCTGGTGGAGACGCTCAACGAGAAACACGCGGACCGCATGCGCTTCTACCTCAGCAAGGCCGACGAGGCTGGACACGAGAGTGACCGACAGGTGGGGAAGTGATTGGGTGGTTGGAGGCTGCTGCTCTGATTGGAGGGCCGGATGGGTGGTTGGAGGCTGATGCTCTGATTGGAGGGCCGGGTGGGTGGTTGGAGGCTGATGCTCTAATTGGAGGGCCGGGTGGGCGGGTGGTTGGAGGCTG